CGGGCGCTGCCCAAGGACAGCCCCGCGCACATCGTGCTGGACGCGCTGCTGCGCAGCCTGCCCGAGCCGGGCGCCAGGGTCTGCTTCCTCCGAGGTGAGTGCGTGCGCCTGTCCCTCCCTCGGCCCCTCGCCTGGGCGTCGTGCCTTGTGCCAGGAGCCGGGCAGGCCAGGTTCTTCGGGGAAATCCGATCGCTTTTTATTAGACCGGCTCGCACAGTTGGAAACCACCTTCTGTGCAAGCCTTCGGGTACAAGCGCCCCGCGTCCGGCTGAGCTACCCGTGTATAACGCCCGGCGCAGGCTGCAGGGCTGGCAGGAGCCGTGGGGGCCTGCTGGGCTTCGGGGCGGTGTCTGCGGTGCCGTGTCTCCACTGGTTTTGCTCCCCGAGTGAGCCAGGTGCGGGACCGCAGTGTGGACAGACTCTCTGCCTTCACCCCGAGACGGGACCCCTCAAAACGCAGCTCGGGGAGTCGGGCCTTTCGGCACCCTTGTGAAGCTGGAGAAGGAGGGATTTGTCCCAAGGCGCAGGGGAAACGCGTTGCGGAGCTGGAGGTGCGCTCGGGAGCCGAGTCTCGGTCCTTGCACTTGAACCACAAGACCCATTTTTTTTTCCCCTTGTGCTTTCTGACCCCGCGCTTTGAAGTGGTGCTTGCGGGTCTATGTAATGCATCTAAGGTAAAGCACGTGTGCTCTTTTTATTACAAAGGCATTGATTCGGTATTAAAATCCTTCCTCTTCCGCAGTAAATCAGCAAAATTCTTATTTTTTTTTTTTTTCTGTTTCATTTCCTGGACATGCCCTGAGTTCGAGTCAGGCAAGCTCCAAACATGCAGAAGGGCTGAGGAAATGGCACGGTTTGAAATGACCAGGGGTTGACTCGGGGGGCAGCACAGCTGACTCTCTGGGGACGGAAACCCCAGGAAGCCAGTGTGGTTCAGGGAGAAGACCTCTTGGGAAATGCCAGGGGAATAAGTCACTTTTAAAGCTCCCAGTAACTAGCCAGTCAACGGGGGAGTATTGTTGTCTGTAACCCTGATGCCACTGCCTAAGCCATGGTGTATAACCCATGGTGGGTTGCACAGATGGTTGTGCCGGTGGCTTGAGGGTCTCTCTGGACGCTTTCGCTGGTTTTAGTCCACAGCTTGTCCTAAAGCCTCTTTATGTATTTCTCATTTTGTTTCAAAATCCTCTGGCTGTAAAATGATAACCACATTTGAGGAGGGTCCTGCCCTCTTGCCCATTCCTGGTGACATGAGCTGGGTGCGTGCGTTCACTCCCAGGTGATGTTTCTAACTGGGGCCTGAGCCACAAAGTCCTAGCAAGACAGGCACGAAAGAGGACTCTGGTCAGCCAGTCCTATAGACCCTGGCACGGTTCTGTAAGGACTTGCTCTTAGTCCTGAGCAACATCATGCTTCATCTTCCTCCGCTGTTTCAGCTGAAGAAGCCTGCTGTTTCAGATCTCTCCTATGTGTGGGTGCAGTTTCTATTTTTTTGTATGAGCTCAGCCTGGGGGAGAGAGACACGCGCACGCTTTCACACACGTGGGGGGGAAAGGAGGCAGGAGAGGAGATCGTGGAAGCAGAAAGCAATAAATCATCCCTCCGTTCTGAGGAGCGGAACTATCTTCTCCATGTGCCCAGAATTATATTAATTATTGATTAAAAATGAAGCCCAGCCCAGCTCGCCAGTGTGGTGAGCAACCTCATATTTGCAGAAATGACATCAAGGGAGTTGGGCTGAGTGGGGAAGGGGGTGAGGGGGAGAGAGCTGGAGGGCTGGATGAGAAGATGACTCATGCTAAGAATGGCCTGCAAATACCCTGATTTCTCAGGGCTCGCGTTTAACTGTTCACCTGCTGCACACAGTTTGCCACCGATTGTGCCTTGGAAACAGACACAGATTTGTCTCGAGTAGGAGCAGGAACAATGGCAATGTCATAAATGGCTATTATGGGTAATATATGAATAGTGTGTATCCTCTTTTCCCAGTGCCAGGGAGACCAGGGAGAATGATCCAAACAAAGAAAGGTTCAGGTGTCTCAACCCTGTGTGCTTTCTGCCTGCTACCTGCGTACTTGGCTTTCTTAACAGCTTAAACCCTCTATATTTTTAACAGTTACTTTGCCTCCAGACCTCTTGACTGGCACTGTTACATTTACCTGGCAAGGTCTTGGAGTAGGTGGAAAGGCACAGGCTCCGATGTCATGTGGAGGGAACATTACCCTGCCTCAGGTTAGGTTTTGGAGGGGGCAAGCAACACACCATGACCTTCATGAGACATCCGCTCAAACACCACAGACTGTTCTAGACAGCCGAGGCAGCAAAGGGTTAAAATGACAGCATTACTCCCTGTAGCTTTTGCTAGGTAGCCCAGGAACAAAATGCAGCACAGGCAGGGGATGCACCCACCTTTTTCCTGCAGCCTTCAATCCTTGAGCACTTGCTTTTAGTTTTCAAACTAGTCCTTACTACCCTGCCTGGACATTGCTGCTTATAATTGCATTTGCAAACAGTCGCAAGTCAGCCACTCACAGCTTGATGTGGCCTTGCGTGTTTAAGGCCTGCACTCCCAAAAGGTGTTAAGCTTACTGCTTAAGGCTTCTTTTTGCAATATAGGTTTTGGGTTTTGTTTTGTTTTTTTTAACAATGGTTTCAGCTGCACAGATAGTTCGCATCCACCCTGCAAGCATGTGCCTTGTGCAGAGTACTCGCGGCAGGGAAACGTGACCATTTCATCAATGGCAACCGTTGATGCACAATGTAATAATGGGATTAATTCCATTTCATTAACAGAGCGGTGAACATAACAAATGCCAGACTTAATTTTATTAAATAGCTCGCATGGGGCTACTTGGTTATCAATGGCTGTCCTGGGATTTCATTAAGTTTTAAAGCTCTTATTTAATGGATCGATTTTCAGTTGAAGCATCTTCATTAACTTACGAGCCTTTGTAGTTGCGTAATTATTAATTGCCATGTGAACACCCGCTTCTGTGTTTGTCCTCATTTAAAAAAAAAAAAAAAAAGGAAAATATGCTCAGTGGTTTATGTTGCAAAGCATATTGGAATAATTGATATCTAGGGGATGGTTATTGTAAATAAGAGTCTCCTTTTTGATGTTGAATACTAGAAGTAAGACCTTCTATGAAGTGGGGCAAGTTTGGTCCTCACCCTACCAAAGTTAATGTTTTGCCAGATCCAACATTTACAGTCCCAAACAGTTTTTTAATCTGCATCCATCAGCTTTGAGGAAGTTAATAATTATCAAAGGTAGCACAGTTTTTGCTTTGAGAGCACAATGCCGTTTTCAACCAACGCTCTTGAATGGAGTGCTCTAAACCCGGCATGGGGCTGATCCTGTATTATGCACTATCCTGTTTTAATTAAGCACTTGAGGCTCTGAGCCAGCTTTAATTAAGTATATTTTCAGAAATGTGAAAATTTATCTTCCTTTTACTCTCTTTTTTTCCCCCAGGGGGATATGAAACCTTTTACTCGCAATATCCTGAGTGCTGTGTGGACGTAAAACTCGTTTCCTCCGAGAGAAATGAAATGGAGAGAAACCTCAACAGCCACTGTGAGAAGCAGAGCATCAACCACAAGCCGGCTTATGATCAGGTGTGTGTGTAAGGGAAGCTGTGAATAATTTCCCCCATATACACACGCATGTGCCCTTTCCAGGGGTTTCCTGTCAGCAGCCTCTTTGCAGTTGAGTATTCACCGTTTATTCCCATCTGGTGGTGCAGTAAAGCCAGCTGAATGTGCGGGTCTGGGGTTTTTCCTGTTTGCCTGGGGTCTTAATTGTTGCATTGGGTTTAGAGCCAACAAACACGCTTAACAGAGCAAACTCATTCAACATGACCTGACAAACTCTGTAGTGAAAGAGGGAGATGAAGAACAGCGTTGGCTGCACGTCTGGGGTTAAGCTTCACTGGCAGTATTAGTGAGGGATTTAAAAAGGATTGCCCTGGAGAAGCCTCTCTGTTTTGGCTCTGTCTTTGTACAAAAATTTAAAAAATCCTGAAGAATTTAAGGTAGCTAGCTTGTGGTCTGAGTACTTGTGGGGCTCTTCGATCCCAGCTTCCGGTCACATATTCAAAATACACAGCCAAATTTAGCTTGATGGGGCCTGTTAGGTGTGTTCCAAGGCATAAGAAAACTTCCGTTCCTCTTTTTTTAATAGCTTTTGTGGCATATTGGGACAATAACACATGTATCGGCTTACTCTAGATCTGGTAAACTGTTCATTGCTCTAGAAGCATTGCCAGACCAGGGAGTCATGGTGTTGCTTCAATTAAAGCCTCTTCAATAGACCACAGATGATGGAAGCAGCTGCTGTGAGTCTCCTTTGTCAAGGAGCTGCGTACCCAGTACTATGCAAAAGGCCTTTATGCTAAAAAAGCCTTTTCTCCTCTGGATCAGCCGTCCATATGTCGGGCCAAGAGTCTTTCTGAGCACTCTTGGCAAGTATTCTGCACTGCTGCCCTCCAAACAAAGCCCAAAGAGGAAAAAAAAAACCTGGTTTGCCCAAGCACTATCCGAGTTTTCATTTTCTCATTACGCTCACGGTCAGATAAAGAGGGGCTTTCTTTTCAGTGTGTGAGCAACAAAAGTCTCTCTGGGAGATTTTTTTTTTTTTTTTTTTTTTTAAATCAAGGTGAGGGGACTGTGCTGGCCAGAGCTATTACCTGCCTAAGGGCTGTGCATCTATCTGTCTTGGACCTCTGATGCTTTCAAGTCCCTAATGCCTCGTGCTGTACACTGCTTGTGAAATCCCCCCTAGGTGCACGTTCAGCTGAACAGGCACAAGCTACTGGGATGGAGCTGAGTGCTTTGCAGCCCCTGAACGGTCCGACCCAGCTGAAGTCGGCAGGCCTCTCCCGTGAGTCGGGCCGGATGACTGGCTTGTGAGAAGGCTGTATTGTTTCTATGCGAGGGGGGAAAGGCAGGGTACTTCCTCTTTGTGGGATTTCCACTGGGGAAATCCTCGCTACCCACAAACACGCCCAGGGGAACACTTCTGCTTTGAAATGTCAGCCCAAGGTCAAGATGGCTTCCTCCAGGGACGTTCTGCTTCCTGCGACCGAAGCGCAGTCTTATCCTGAGTGCGAGGAGGACACTTGATTCCCATGCTGCGGGAGAAAGGCTTTATTTTAGTAAAATAAATCCAGCGATTATTTTAGTAAAATAATTCTGGATTCCAGGGACTTTCCCTGCACCTGCTGCATAATAGCGCTTGTGGCCAGCTGGAAAGAGAGGGGATCCAGACTGTTGCGCCCTTCAACCTGGTCGTCCCCTGAGCTCCCCAGGGGCAAGTCCCCTGCAAAACCCGGCCCCTTGGAAACCGAGCTCCTCGGCAAGGCCAGGTTCTTTCTGTCAGTTGAGTCTCTCTTCCTGTGGCAGAAAAAAGGAATCGAGATTACATCTGTGAGGGAGGGAGCCGTAGGTGGCCCCAAGCGGCAGGTGTGCGTGTGCCGAGTGTCGCGCCTCCACATCGCTGCGTCACAGGCAGGAAATGGAGCAGCGCTGAGGCTGGGGGAGTCTGAGCAAACAGACGCCAGCTGTCGTGGCACGGTCCTGCCCGAGGGGCGGATGAAAACCTGTCTCCCTTTTAAGCCCAGTTCTGTTTCCAGGTTTCTTTGTCACCAGGACGTAGGCAGGGGAAGGGGTGCGCTTCAGACCCAGTAATGTGAGGTTTCTTGCTAACAGCACGTAGTGTGTTGAGTTTCCCACCTCTTGTACTCCGAGTACTAACAGGCGTCCCTCGTGCCCCTGTTGTGATTGCGCCCCCCTTCTTTTCTTTTGTTTCAGCAAAAACTCCGGGGAACCCAGCCTGACATATGAAAGCACTTCGGGGGGGCTTCTTAGGGGAAGGACTTTAAAGAGAGCAGGAAACATTGTGCACACGAGTGGGCTGGATCTGATTTCATACCTCACAATGTGGACAAGAAAATGAAACCCTTCTTCTGTGTGGGCTCTGCCGTTACAATGATTCACTGGCCAGTAATACCAGGATCTAAAACTGTCAGACAGGGACTCGGCACCCACGCTGGCTCTGCTGCCGAGTCTCTCTGTTCACTGAGTTGGCTGTAACTTGAGACAAAACTTCATGTTAAAAAAAAAAAAAAAGAAATAAATAGTTCATGTCTATATCTCTTGTTCCTTGATTTCCAGGGTGGTCCGGTGGAAATCCTGCCTTTCCTTTACCTTGGCAGTGCCTACCATGCTTCCAAGTGCGAGTTCCTAGCCAACCTGCACATCACAGCCTTGCTCAATGTCTCCAGGAAGAGTTCAGAGTCCTTTAAAGACCAGTATTGCTATAAATGGATCCCAGTAGAGGACAGCCACACAGCGGACATCAGCTCTCACTTCCAGGAAGCCATAGATTTCATTGGTAGGTATAGTTTTTCTATGGTGCCATTAAAAGGAAAAAAAAAAAAAGAATGAATATATTAAAAAAATCTAGACTGTTTCGTGCTTCAGTAGATGGACCTGTGAAGCACTTATTTTACGTATGGACAAACTGAGGTTTGGAGAGGTTAAGGAATTTGTTCAGGGTTTCATAATAAGTTAAGGAATCTGATTTTTCCCGTCCTAATACTAGGCTGCATTCCTATACGTCACTTCTAAATCTGCATCTGTGGCTCTTTGCTAATGTTCCTGCCTCAAAATACTGAATCTACCTAGCTAAAGCATTCAAAAATATGATAACTCATGAAAAACCTAACAGGTTTTAACTACCTCTTTTTTTAAGTTCTTATTTCTGTCTTCCCAGCTCAGTGTAGAAGCTAGTAAGTTTTAACTAATTTCTGAGAGGGAAGCACAATTTGTGTTTTTTTTCCTTCACATGTTTCCAGATCTCGCTAGACATGTCCAAGTTCTATATAAGTATTTCTTTAAGTAGATTTCTATCAGCACCCCATGTCCCCCTGCTTCTCTCAAAGAAACTCCTTCCCTGCATTACTTTATTAATCTTCCCCCAGGGGGAAAGATTGCTTGCTAAGACATTTTTCCAACTATTTAAGTTGGGTCTAATAAAAGATATCAGCTTCACCCAAAGAACCCTGCCTGCCTATGTCCTTAGACCACCACAGCTACAACTACACCCCTTTTAGCTTGTGTGTGAAGGCCTAATGCAAGGGACAGGCCCTTCCTTCCACCCGGGGGTATTGGCCAGACTAGACCTAGATAAGGTTAATAGCGTGCTAATTAATGGTGTGGAGTACTACAAAGGGGAGGCCCAACATAAAACCATCTGTAAAGCATTGAGTGATTTAGGTGGGTGTAGCAGACTGGGTGGAGAGTATAGCATAATGAAAGGGTTGCAGTGCTATCCAGGAACAGGGGAGAAGCAAGCACAGAAGACTCAACTACTTAATTATAGCGTCTCTCCTTTGTACCTGTCTGTTGCTGGCAGTTTAGCTGAGTCTTTGGGATTCACCTGAATGGTAAAAAGCCCTGGATGGCTGTGGGGTGTAATACACTTACAGCCTCTGATTGCTTCCCCGGTACTGATGACTTATTGGGGCTTTTTGCATTTTAAGGGGAACTCTGTTTTCCCACAGTCGATCGATAGGGAGTTTTGTCTGTTTTTCCACTTCTCTTCTGCTAGCAGTTGAGTCAGTTGGAAATATCCAGAGACTCGGCTTTGGTTTTCATTTTGTATGTGCAATGTCACATACCTTGCACCCTTCCGTGCTGGTTCTAGCACATGCATCGCTTTTGTGCTACAGCTAAATTTAGCCAACTGCAGCGCAGTGGGAAGAGCAGGAAGGAAAATGATAACTTGTTTAGCTCTTTGAGTTGTTTTAATGCCACGCAAGGAGCGCACGTTCCCATTTGCTTTGGGACTCGGAAACGTATTTCTCTAGGCAGCAGACCAGAGCATGTCTATTTTACACTAGATTTTTATGGAAGGAGCTTATTTTAAGCATTTTCTCTTTAATCTAATAACAATAATTGTGTTGTGTGAGTAACCTCGGGGCCTCCTGTTGTGTGTAATGGTAGTTTTTTTGCATAAGCCATTTATATCCTGACTTTAGTCCAAGTATCCTCTAGCCGGGCTATAATTAGAGACCTTGTAGTGTTTCTTATGTACTTTGTGGTGGAGACCCTGGGAATTAACTTCAGCTTCCCCACCCAGGGGCTGCAGGGCATGTAAGAAATGGACCACAGAGAAGGGGAAGAGGTAGTGTCTTGCCTTGGCTGAGAGCCAGGCTACTCAGCAGCAGTATGACACTGTCATAATGCAGTCGTGTCCCAGCTGTCTTCTGCACTGGCCACAAACAGGTCCAAGCAGCAGAGCTATGCTTCTGCTCCGGTTTGGCATTGTATTGCAATAATAATAAACTGAGACCAGGCATGGCCACCTGGCCAGAGCACCGGACTGGAAGGCGAGGGACCCAGCTCTGCCTGGAATAACCTGGAGCTTTCACCCAGCCTACAGGATAGTGATGTAGATCCCCAGACTAGTAATTGGTACCAGAGGGCTGTATGGTCTCTAATTTGCAAGAGCTGCTTCAGTTTCCCTATCTACATCCTTTGTAAAAAGAGTTAAAAAGTAGTGAGGATCCATATGAAAGAGCTGGGGGTCAGCATCAGTGGTCTAGCACAGCCACATGTAGTGCACAGATGTTCTGAATCGTGTCCCGTGTCCCACTGAGGGATCACCAAAGGTGTGCTGGGAGAAGTTGCCCAGGACAAACCTAGCAACTTGCTGTCTCCCAAGCTAGGACCCTTTAAGAATACAGGGTGGAGAAAGAAAATGCACAGACTCTTGCCCCTGTTTATGGGAGCCAAAGGGAGGTTCAGGTTCTTCATTTTAGAAAATGCCGGTTGCCCAAGAAACCTGCCCATAGCACCCTCTGCCCCTGGGGGAGACTGGGTGCGGGGCTAAGTGGGTCAGTGTCCTGAGCCAGCGTGGTTAACCCGGTCTGCACGACTGTCTCTAGTGACTCTGATAATCGTAGCAGCTTTGGGCTAGCACTGGCCTGTGCCTTCATGGCTGAGCACTGACAAAGAAAGGGGACATGCACTTTCTTTTACTGCTCCTGTTGGGTACCAAACTCTTGTCGCACAAACCTCAGCCATGCGAGTTGGGTTATCCTGGGGCTGATTTCATTGGGGAAAGACAGATTTATTGGGGGGGGGGGAAAAAAAAAGTCAGGGGGAGGAAGGAAGGGAATGGACTGCTCTGAGAACTAGAGGCAGGACCAAAACAGCCCCCAGACAAAGGTCCAGTCCAAGTTGGATCCAGATCTGATTTCTGGACTCAAATCTGGATCTGCTGCTTGCATTGCTACTCGGTCATGGACTGCTTTCCTGTCAAGGGAAAGGGTGCGGGGGGGTGATGGGGACTCTCCTTTCTCCTGGTGACCTGGACATGTATCGCTGTCCCTGGATCCTCCAGAACGAAAACTGATGTTTGGACTGGATTGTTTCTTTCCAGACTGTGTGAGGCGGGCCGGAGGCAAGATCCTAGTGCACTGCGAAGCGGGGATCTCGCGCTCCCCCACCATCTGCATGGCTTATCTCATGAAAATGAAGAAGTTCCGCCTGGAGGAGGCCTTTGATTACATCAAGCAACGCAGGAGTTTAATCTCCCCCAACTTTGGTTTCATGGGCCAGCTACTGCAGTATGAGTCAGAGATCCTGTCTTCCACTCCCAGCCCTCCTGTCGCCTCATGTAAACGAGACGCTGTGTCTTTCTTCGCAGAAGAACTGACTTTAAGCAAAAACTTTGAAGGCTCCTGTTACACATTTCCTACCTCAGTCTTGAGTTCTGTGCCCATCCATTCTCCTGTCCATCAGCTCAAGCTCAGCCCTATCACTGCCT